TATTGTGCCCGTGGGAATTTATCTAGAGAACAGTGGCTTATGCGTGGGATTATAGCAAACCCATGCATGAGTGCAGGAAATACACCTCGGAAAGTGGTCAGCAGTGGCTTACCTGGAGAAGGTTCCATCAAGAGACAATGTGTGAATTATATACTTAATAAGAAATGTATACATCGATGACTTTTTATAGACCCTTGACATCTAAGTCAGTTTTGGATGGTGTGTCATCGTTAAGCAAGAGCAACAGCTTTACACGACCTTCAATCACTAGTTCAGAGTGTGTCAGTGGAGAAAGCCGTTCAGCACTAAACGATTGCCTGGCAATGATGGTTTGAACATAACCAGAGGCGTACCTGAAAACAGGCCTGACCATCTTCTTCTGAAGGCACACGGCCATGGAAGCACTGTGAAGTGCAACCCTCCTCTGCACAGACAGCGTTTCCATGAGTTGAGAGAGTCAATGGCAACTCGGAACAATTACAATAAATTGTTGTTTGCATTGAGCAAGTTCACTCTGCTATATGTGGTAGTTTTATAATCTGTTGTCAATTTGAGAGGATTATGAGTGAAGGGGTGGAATCTTGCCTGTCAATCAGGTCGCAGCTTGATGGCCTCATTTAGAGGCACTAGGAGATAAACAGCTTGCTGGAGGCAGGACACGCTCACTCCCTGGGAGACATTGCAGCTGACTAGACACAAGGAACGACCTAGTGCCCTGTGCTGGTGGAGCCACGTGGAGAACCCTGCCAGCGCTGAGATGCCTGCAACCCTACTGGATCCACAAGACTTCCCACCCACGGGTCTGTGATCTTCCTGAATTCAGTGTCATTTTGTACGTGAAGAGGACTTTATAGATTGGTATCAGACATATGGGCTAATATCAGACTGATGGACTTGACATGGACTAGGCTGGGAGGTTTCCTCAATTTTCAGTTGCTCTTGTATACACATACTCTTTCTTCTACACATGAGTGTCTGTGAATTTGTTTCTCTAGTCTACCCAGACTAACACATCATATGAAGACAGTATGTATATTTTATAGCATAATGCAAGCAAGTCAAGACCGCCTACATTTGGGAGCTTCAAGAAAGATATGCCACAGCTTAACATATGTTGATGTTATGCAAACTTATGAAACATATACAACTTTGACAAAAACACAATGAAGCAATTCTCCCTTTCCTGTGTTTGAAATCATGACAGCAGATGTTCATTCACTAAACTGGGTAACCCCCCCCCAAAATTAATTTAAAATATTACCAGGTACAACTGGATGACCATTTGAAAACTCAATACTGAGGGTTTTAGGTTTCATGTTTTCTTTTAATTAACAATTGCCAATTCCTTACAATGAGTTGAAACAGAATGACAGTCGATGAAATACAGTCCTTGCAACTGACTGAGAAAAAGTGCTAAGCAGAACGTGCACACATCACTGAGACATTTCAGGTCACCATTCAATGTAGAATGGAGGACATAAGGAAAATAGGTATGGTGCAAGACACGTGTGGCCCGCCTATGAAATGCTGATTCCTAAACACACAGAATGGCAGCATACAGGCCACCGAGAACACCAGAGACAGGAAGAGGGCCATTTTAGAATCATTTTTGCACCATCTGGATGAAGCTGGATACCTGAGCAGGTAGATGACAAGAGTTTCAAGAATATATTATGGATTCAATGATACATTAATGGATGTCGTCTTTTTTGACAGGTATTTTTGATTTCCAATTTAAGAGGTGATTAGAAAATAATTTCCTAATTAAAAGTTAATTTTAAAAATGTGTGTGAAATATTTTTGCAAATGAATATTATCAATATTATGTGGCCAGGGCAAATATTAAGAAAACAAAGTGAAGTTATTTAAAACTTATTGGTACAATCTGTGAATAACCCCACCACAGTTAACTCCCTTAGTGCAGGCTTACCTGGCATATCAGAAATATAAAACTGAGTTCACATGATATATTCAGATGCATTTACCGAAATTAAATTTTAATTCTATCACTGAGACATTTGATGATGATTTCTCCATAACTCAAAGCTCATTTCTATAAACAGCAACATACAAATCCAAACCTAACTCATTTCCATCAAGTCAATGCTGCCTCACAGCAATCCCCTGTGAGTTTCCAAGACCATAACTGTCGATGGAAGGAGAAAGCCAGCCTTTCTCCTGCAGAGCTGCAAGGTTTTCAAACTGCTAACCATGCAGATCACAGGCCACCGAGTAACCACCACACCACCAGGACTCCTAGTATATGAATAGGTTTCATGAAAGCAAAATCCATTTCCATTTAAAAAGAAACAAGATGCACCATATACGTTAAATACTACATGAATTTACATATGCATAAATGTAAGTATTAATTTATTTTGGTTTACAAGTGACTAAATACAGAAGACCAGAATACACATACACTCACACACACACACACCAGGGGGAGCTTCGAAAATTTGTGGGAAATTTAGATTTTCTTTTAATTCCATTTTTTCCACAAACTTTTTGGATTTCCCTTTTTTATGTATTTTGCCTAAAATATTAGGTAAACTGACTTTTAATTATGAATTCTAAGATATTAATCATGGGAGGTATTATATAAGGCATTCATTGTTCACATAAATAAACCTAGTTTTGATTCAAAGAGCTAATGTTCTAAAAGAAGTCAAGTCTCGATTGATAAAGTCAACATGGTAAAATCTAAAAATCTGTGGAGATGCTAAATCACTATTTAACGTGCAAAGTGAAAACTAGTAGCTTCATTAAAACAAAATGTACATTTTCCTTGCAATAAAAAAAAAACACAACAGAATAATGAGCCATAACTCAGGTATCTGTCTTTTCCTCATGAGCTCATTCACCCAAATTTGTTCTTAAACCCATAGTGATAAGTTATTACATTATAGTTAATATTCCTTTAGTTGTAATTTCAAAGCAGAATAGCAATTATTACCTGAAAATTAAAACAAAAAAAGTTAGTAACATTTGAATAAAATGACGTTAGAATACAAAATTGATATCATTACAAAGAATCATAATATTTTCTTCAGAAACACATTATAAAGCCTTATAAAAAAAGTTTACATGAATAAGATTCAATGAAAAAAATGAAACCAAGGAGACTTTACACTGACAACATTTCCACTGGATTACCATTAAGAGTTATATGAACTACTTGTACGAGTTGTACATGTTCAAGTTGTTCTTTTCTACAAAGTAACGAGCAAGATTTTCAAAAATCATAACCTCTGCCCTTTAGCAATTCACTAAGAAATAAGGCAGAAAACATTTATACTTAGTAACTGGAAACTTTAGGGAATCAAGTTTATGTTTTTAGTAAAGTGCTGTTTTCTCACTAAGAAAATAATAATTCCTGGTATTAGCAAAGCGCCAGAACCTGATTTTGAGAGACTGAGATCTCTGGATATTTAGCAAAGCAGATCACAAATGAAAGGCCTTCAATGTTAATCCACTGAGTCACCGATTACTGTCTACACCGGCTCACCAGATCGAGTCGGGGCAGAAATTAGGACCATTGGAAAGTGGACTGAGACTACCAAAAGTGTAGGTAGGTTACATTCGCTTACTCTAATTCAGACAGAAGTCAGGAGTTACAATTTTCATTTAAATTATTCTGTCTGAATTTTCATTCTCTATCCCTAAACCATAACCAGATTTCTTAGCAAAAAAAACACCCCACATTCAAGCAATTTCAATGGTACTCAACACTCCAAACCCACTGCCACTGAGTTGATGCTTATTCATAACAACCCTCAGGACAGGGTTGAACTACCCCTGTGGGTTTCTGTAACTCTTTCCAAGAGTAGGAAACTTTGTCTTTCTCTCCCAAGGAGTGATTGGTAGGGATTAACCACCTGGTGGTTAGCAGCCCAACAGGTAACCACTACTACACAACGGCTTCCAAAATAGTACTCAGGCATCAAGTGAATGATTTTTCCAAAACGGGAGTTATGGAAGTCTACCCACCAGTCACCCACTGCCATTGTGTCCATAGTCCAGAGTAGAGCAGAACTGCTCCATAGCACTCCCAAGAATCTAAATCTCGATGGATCTGATCACCTCATCTTGCTCCCTTGGAGTAGCTGCTGGTGGGTATGAACCACTGACCACATGGTTGACAGCCCAGTGCTTAACCCGTGGCATGGCACCACTGTGCTCTTTTGGCCACAGCACACAGTCCTTCTTTTCTCCACTGGAAGATTTTAGTTCCTTTCTTCTACCATGTTTCCCCTAAAGTAAGACACCCCCCGAAAATAAGACCTACTTACAGTTTTGCCTCTCACTGAAATATAAGGGATCCCAGAAAAAATAAGACCTCCCCAAACATAAGGCCTCCCCGATAATAAGGCCTCCCAAAGCTACCGTAACTCTGGACTCTGGACCATAGTGTTGCAGCTGGAGCAGACAGGAAGTGCAAGTAAATGTACCATAGATTATGAGTAAATGTACCATAGATTGTTGCACATGGAAATAATGGTAGTAACAAGAAATTCTTGATACTGTAGGATTCAGTTTGTCTGGTTATGCTGGTTTGTGATGACAACTACTACCATACCGTATACAGGTAATACATTTCCCTTTTCTTGGTTCAACAATAAATGTGTACCGTATTCTTTTTTATGGAAAAATAAGATATCCCCTGAAAATAAGACCTAGCACATCTTTGGGAGCAAAAATTAAGATAAGACACTGTCTTATTTTTGGGGAAATAGGATATTTGGCCCCCATGCTACCTTTGTGAGTTCATGTATCAATGAATATGGAAAAAGAGACTCTTTCGTTTACTTAGGCCTTTACCACAGATTGTACATATGATACTCTAAAGGAATATTCACATCTTGCACCTTTCATTCGATTGCAAGCCCCACAAGGGAAGATCCCGCTTACTTACCTGTCATATTTCCCTACAGCCCACATCTCAAGTCCTGAATATTCTCACGGCGAACAAGACATCAAGTGAAAAAGAAAACGTTTACCCTGATGAAGAGGATCTTTTCTCCCACTCGGTATCTTCCTTGGGAGAGCCGCTCAACACAGAACTTGTTTGGGCACTTGCAGGGCGGGTCTTCAGAAATTCGTTTCACCTGAAGTAGAAGAGGCATCAAGTTCACAAGTCTCATTTAAAGCAATTTTTTTTTTACTGGATTCAACATACCTTGTAGATGAGTAATGCTTTTAAATTTGTTCCATACTGGACTATGGGCAGAGATACAAACAAAGAAATATCATATTAAACAACGACTCAGTCAATGAAATGGTTTGCTCCATAATGGATTATGGGGTTAGCAGAAAACTAAGCAGCGTTTCATTGAGCTGTGCATGGGGTCGGGTAAATGCAACGAGCAACAACATAAAGGTCAATTCCTGAAGGTATTTTCTGAAGTCCAGTCATTGTCACTAAGGCCTAAGCTGGATGTTGAGGATGATGGTGATGCTGATGATGATGAAGAAATCAATGGACAGTCTGGGAATGATAAATTAGGCTCATTCATTTTTTAGGATGAAAGAGATCAGGTACATCAGTTTGCCACAATAACTGAAAACTAGAGTAGAATGTATGTTAAATATTTATAAAAGCTGAGTATGTTAACATAAGATTACATATTTCTAGAGTATAATTTTAATTGTATTAATTGACCCACTTTCTTTTTTTTAATAATCGTTTTATTATCACAATCCATACATACAGCATTGTGTAAAGCACATTTGTACATTCATTGCCCTCACCATTCTCAAAACATGCTCTCCACTTAAGCTCCTGGGCTTAGGTCCTCATTTTTTCCCCTCCTACCCTGCTCCCCACTCCCTTATGAACCCTTGATAATTTATAAATTATTATTTTGCCATATCTTGCCCTGTCCAACATCTCCCTTCACCCACTTTTCTGTTGTCCATCCCCCAGGGAGGAGGTCACATGTAGATCCTTGTAATCGGTGCCCCCTTTCCAACCCATTCTCCCTCTATGTTCTCAGTATCGCCACTCACACCACTGGTGCTGAAGGGATCATCCGCCCTGGATTCCCTGTATTTTCAGTTCCTATCTGTACCAGTGTACATCCTCTGGTCTAGCCAGACTTGCAAGGTAGAATTCGGATCATGATAGTGCGGGTGGGGAGGAAGCATTTAGGAGCTAGAGGAAAGTTATATTTTTCATCATTGCTACATCACATTCTGACTGGCTTGTCTCCTCCCCGAGACCCCTCTGCAAGGGGATCTCCAGTGGCCTACTAATGGGCTTTGGGTCTCCACTCCGCACTCCCCCCATCATTCACTATGGTAAGATTTTTTTGTTCTGATGATGCCTTATAGCTAATCCCTTCGACCCACTTTCAAGATAAATGAAAATTAAATAAATTGTTTCTTAAATGAGACTATTGTTTCATTTGGGTTTGATCTCTAAGTTTTCCTCAATGAAACCAGCTCTAATTCACCCAGACTCACCCATAAACTCAATTCTATTTCATCTATTTCAAGCTACCAAATGATACTTACAGGATCATATTTTTTGAATTCTATGTGAATTTTATGAACACCATGATGTATGTCAGATTTTTATCTATTATACATTATTTCCACTGTCTAAAAATTATATAAACTAGATGAGATGCTCACATTATTTATAAGTAGTTGTAATTACTAAAAGACAATGTATGACTCCCTGGTTTTAAGAATATATTTGATATTTATGTTGTTCTTGTTTGGGAACCTGCCTGTCTCAGACCTGCCCTTAATCCGATTAACCAAACAATTCAACACAATGAGTTCCTGTGTGGTGAGAAAAGGTTTCCTTGGAGGGTCAAGAAAGTTCTGATTAAAGTTCTACCTGCAACCAAGAGGCTGACAGCACAACATTTCAATTCTGAAGACCTTCACCTGAATTTTCTCATGTAAGTTCTCTCTTCTACAAAGTTATCATGGTGCTTGGGGTTCTGTCATCAACTCTCAGTCATTCTTTCAAATAATTAAATGCTTGCCTCTACCTTTCTACTAAGCAAACACTGTGACAGTTGCAAAACTCTCTGACACGTTAGTATAAATGAAGTAAAAACTTTGCTTTCTCTAGAGTAAGAAAAATATTCCAGGACATAGAAAATCCAGAGAGAGTAGAGAAATCGCGAAGCCCAATTTATTTTAATAAGAATAAAAATGTGCTTCGCTGAAGACCAATATAAAAGAAGCAGGCATATTTCTGATGAAGGGAATGAATCAACTTGAGAATACACCTTTCCATTAGTGCCGTCTGCCATTTCTAATTCTGCCAACATACCAGCAATGAAGCAAAGCCACTTCAATGGAGTGGCTTCTGATGCTGAGGGACCCCGCAGGACAGAGTAGAACTGCCCCTTGGGTGATAAGGGCCGCGATTCTGAGACTGTGAAGCTGCACAAGAGAAGACAGCTTCCCCTTTCTCCTGTAGAGCAGACGGTGGGTTGGAACTGCTGACCTCGAGGTGAGCCCCACATAGAAACCACTAAGCTTAAATGCTTGGTATATATTTTTGTCATAAGTTTTTATACCTCAGTTACTGCTTCACCTTCATGCTGCTTTGTTATACTGTGAGTTCCTTAATACTTTTGTGAGCTGTGGGACATACGGCGTCCACATCCCTTTTCAAGGTCTGGAGCTCAGTAGGAAGCTGTTCTCACACTCTCAGTTTGGGCTGCCATTTGGTAGAGGGCATTTGGTAGAGGGCAGGTGCATCTGTAGAAACCGCCCTTCTCCCACCAACCTGGGCACCAGAAACCCCCGTAACAAAAATGTATCACTAACTGTATTGTTCAAATCTTATTCAGAATGCCTTCCATCACGGAAAACATGTGATCTCCACAGAAGACGCAAAGCAGCAATTTGGTCTTCAAAGCATTAAGGACTGAAATGGAATTTAGTAACATTTTAAAATCCTTGAAATAGCGTCATGCCTTCATTGCATATACTATGTGTTGAACAAATACACATTAAACAAATAAATAGATGAACAAAACAAAATCAAGGTCCTAGACAGGCCACAGGAGGAAATGGATGGAACAAAATAAACACTGTGCAACGAACTGCAGAGACGCTTCCATGTAAGGGCAAGGCCATTGCTGACCATCATTAGGCTGGTGATTAGGCCCAGGACTCTGGGGTCAGAGGTTGGCCAGCTCATTATACATGCATCATAAGTACTAATGGGGATTTTTCCCGAGAGATTTTTTGAAGGGAATGGTTTTTAATAGAATGGTGACAATGAAAGAACAAGAGATGCCGTCGAAGAGGCTGTACAATAGAACAAGAAGTATAAAAGGTGAGTAATAGAAGCATCATTTCCTTCCATAAAGGAGAACCCCAATTGAGGGTAGAGGAATGGCATTTACAAGCTCAATGAGCATCTGTGGGCGCTGTTCTCAGTATTTCCCTCTGTGCACATCTCTTCCTATATAATTTTATAAAATGTGTATGTGACTAGATGACCATTTTATTCATCATTTCTCCACATAGTGTCATTTTCCTGACCACTGTAATGTGAGCTTTCCTAAGAACAACCCGGAGAGAAGACAAGAAGGGAGGGTTAGGGGGGACATAGTTCCTGAGATTGGGAAGAAAACCAGACAAGCAAAAGACCTGTTGAAGGACCACACTGGGCGCAGGTTGGCTGCCCTGCTGTAAGTGGGCTCTCCGTAAGAAACAAGTATATGTAGAAGGTAGTTCTTTCTCTCCGTGCTTTCAAGAGGAATGTGAAAATCGAGGGTCTTCTACAGTGTGTGAGAAATGGAGGCAGCAAGGGACGGGCGCAGACCACCCTGTGGGCAGTGGGAATCTATTGTGCAGCAAACACTGACCGAGGGCGACATGTGACTTCTCATATTACCCTGGGATAAGGCAGTCTGGCAGGTGTGCCGGCTTTCTACTTTTGTGCCCGGAACTCAGCCAGCTTTCTGCTGAAATGGGATTTCAAGGGGAGCCTGATTGCTCAGAATTACACTATCTCTCATCCCTCAGACTGAGGAAGTTGAGGCAGAAGAATAAAGTAAAGAATCATTTCTTAGAATTGTAATAAACTCATTGTGTGGGAACTAGCTCCCCGTGAGGGATGACAAACAGAGAGCTAAACCTGACCCCACAGTTGAATCACTGTATCAGGACATCTGGAGAATAAATTATTCTGAATAGTCTCCACTGTGGGCTTCTTGTGTGAGTGGGAGTGCATTTTGTGATATCTTGATTAAAGAAGGTGGGATACATTATTCACATAAAAGGTCACTTTTTGTCCCCTTATTTATTTACTTTTTTTTTTTTTTGCCATTCCCAAAAGTATCAAATACAGAAACGTGAGGAAACATTGGAGGCTTCAGAACTGACAGTTATTGTTGAAACCATTCACTGGGTCATGCTATCTTCACAGGGGTCTCTTGTGGCCTGCTCTTTTCTCGTTCACTTTTCTTGTCTTGTGTATTGTTCCTCCCCTCTTTCCGCTTTTATTTTTTTAAAGATAATCACTTGGTCAGAGGATAGATAGTATTATTGATAAGATTGAGAAAATTTTCATATAAGCTTTATTTTGTCTACCTATTTTAAAGCACATATTTGGGTGCATACATTTCCACTCCCATCCAGTATATGGGCCTCACATGCAGTGAAGCTTGTTGCCATAGGAACTACTTCTTTCTTCTGTTAGATATATGAATCTTTGATTTAAACCATTAGTGAGGCCCATGTTACTTTTCATTTTGCTCCACTGTTCCTGAAATAAAGCATTTCAGTGGGAAACGATCAATTAAACAATGCAAATATTTCAGGGTTTTCCACAAAGTAGAAAGGAGGGGGCTGGAAGAGATGTTAGTGGTCAAAGAAGTTTACAAAATTCCAGATTAAACAAGCTCTTAGGAAACCCTTCCTATTCCAGGGTGCCTTGCTGCACTCTAAGTTGGCGCTATAGCCAATTATATTCCTCAAGCAAAGCTAACCATAGAACCCTTTTCCTCGTGGAGTATTTGATTAAGCATCCTTTCAAAATGTGTTTAGAGAAACATAGGTTTCTAGCAGGAGATATATATCTCTCTCTATATATATATATCCTCTCTCTCTATATATATATATATATATATATTACATTCATTTAGGGAGCCTCGGAGGCACTCTTGGCTCAGCATTAAACTAGCCTTGTGGTTGGTGGTTCAAACTCACCAGCTATCTGTTCTCATAAAGATTCACACTCTCAGACTCTATATATAGGGTTACCACGGTTCAGAATTAATTTTTGTTTGTTTTCAACTACATTTTAGCTATAATATGCACAGATGTTTAAATTAGCAAACTTTGGTAAATGTTAGAGAAAGTTTCCAGCTTTTTTGAAATTGAATTTGACACCTTTCATTGTTGTCGGTGGAGAAACAACTTCGAGTGGGAGCAAGCACCTTTGGAGCGACTGTCTTGACATTTCATGGTCTCATTTCTTCCAACATGGAGCATTGGTAAAACTGCTGCATAATCCCTTCTGTGTTTGTTTCATCATCTCTTCTCCCCTTCCCGTTTCCTTCTCAAGAACGAGGGAAGACCAGGTCAGGTAAAGTCAGAGAGCCACTTCAGCTAGTGTGCCCAGGCTTATGCAAACGGCTTCCAGTGAGAGACATTTCCCTCTGCTGTAGTGGTTGTGTGTTGGGCTGTAATCAGGAAGGTCTGCAATGGAAAGCACCCGCTGCTCTTTGGAGAAAGATGGGGCTTTCTCCTCCCCTATAAAGAGTTACAGTCTAAAAGCCTCACAGGGATGGTTCCGCCCTGTCCTATAGACTTGCTATGAGTAGACAACGACTCAATTGCAGTGAATTTGGTTTGTTTGCTTTTCAGCACAGCAACTGGGAAAAAATAAGCACATGTGTTTCTCAGGCACATGCCTTCCTTCGATGAGTAGAAACAAGGGGAAAGATTTTTCAAGTTAATTACCCAGGCTGATTATTTATACAACCAACACAGTGCTAGTTCGATATCGATAAAATATGGTCCTGTCTTTGAGACCAAGTTCCCCCCCTCAAGGAAAACAGACATCTCATACAAAAGAGAAAGAACTCGTTCCTGATGAGAACATGTTCAAGAAAGTGAACGGATACGATAGTTGAGAAGAAAAGGAATAAAAACATATTGCAACAGCCAGAGAGAAATACACTCATTAGCGAAAGATATAAGGGACAGCTTTCCCTGAAGTCAGTCTACTCCGCAAAATGTAATTGTGAAAAAGAGTAAACTGTGCTCAGTCACGTACAGAGAATGCATCATGACCTCTTACTAGAATTTTCTGGCTGGTGGAAAAGGTTAGGGCCCGAGTCTGCTGGATGATCTGTCGGAGGTTTCAACCCCCCCAGAAGTCCCTCAGAAGAATGCCGCTTGATGTCTCTCAACCATCCACTGCTGCAAACCCTCCGGAGCACAGTTCTCCCGACACGCATTCAGAAGTGTGCGCGCCGCACGCTACTGCGATGCTTGTGTCAGCTCAATAGCAACTGGTATACTGGTTGGATCTACTATCAATACAACATAATCCTCAATTTCCTTACAAAATAAAATGATAATCAAAATGAGTTCATGATCCCGAAACAGTCAAATCCTCCCAGATGGCATCCGATTAAAATGCCCGGCCTAGTCTTTCCATTTTGCATGGACTGAACAGTTATCCAAACAAAAAACGAATTAAACTAAGCTACCTTGATAAAGTAAAGTTTAATTGTTTCTGTCCTTCACAGCTATCAGGGCTCTCAGTCAGGCAGCAAATAGAAATCCCTTCAGGCCATCTGAGCGATTAGAGCCAAGAACGGGCCGCTCTGCTCTGCCAGTGGGGCTGCTCTGAGTTGAAACTGGTCGATGGAGCCTAACAAGGCTGCCTTGTAGGTGAGAGAGTCATGTGGAGGACAGCAGAAAATGAGGGACTCCTCTCTCCATCCATCGATCAGCCATTTTCTAAGCAACTTTCAGCTCAAACTTGGCAGAAAGAAGCCCCTTTCAGACCACAGCTGGCCTTGTGGGCGGTGCCGACGTTGAAAGTATCGTGTCTGTGAGATATACTTCAATCTAGTGGCTCTGCTGTTGCCATTTTCTACAAAATTCATGTACAACTCTAACTCCATAAGTGAAAATATATACAACTAATATGCCAGTCACCCATGGCTTCCTCTTATATTATTGCTATTAGTAGTATTTATGCTTGTATTCAAAGGTAAATTGACATGTATGTGGTGTTTGAGAGAGTGTCAAAAATTCGTGGAAAAAAATCCCTTATCACTTAATTAAATTTTTCCCACAAACGGGTTGAAGCCCCTGGTAAACATGAAAAAAATCAAGTTTAACAACCAAGAACTCCTTAACAGACACAGAGAGAACCTGAGACCTGGGTGTTGGGGGAACCCCCAGCATTATTCCTAGTAAAACAGTGGTTATCAGTTTATATGTAAAATATTTCCTAATCTGTAAACTTCTGATTTAATGACTCTGCTGAACAGAGAGCCTGGGGGCTCGGAGAGTTGGATCCACGGGGTTGGAGGCTTACGTTCTTTCCCCCCATGCTTCCCCTCGGCAGGTAACTGACCTTCCAGACTTCAGGCCCCTTAGTAAGATACCAGTACTTGAAAAGTAATTATGCACCTGCCCATCGGGGCAGTGAGTAGAGGACCATTACCTTCTGTGCAAAATGCTTGCTTTCCTTCTCTGAGAGAAAGATCTTCTACCTCACACTTCTTATCAATGAAACGAGGAGCCTGGAACCAATATCAGCAAAGCTTAAATATTTTCAAATGCAATTGTCAGGAAGTCGCTTTGCTCACCTGAAAAATCAGATGCTACTAGGCATAATTAAATGATACTTGATTTAAAAACAAAATGATACAAGCAAACGTATTCATAGCAATGGGATTGATTCTGAATCATAGAAACCTTACAGGGCAGAGTAGAACTGCCCATGTGGGTCTCTGAGGCTATAAAGTTTTCTGGGAGTAGACAGCCTCACAGTTCTCCTGTGCAGTGGCTGGTGGTTTCGAACTGCTGACTTTGAAATTAGCAGCCCCACTTGTAACCTACTATGCTACCAAGGCTCTTTGTCGGGTTTACATCTCAAAATGCAAACTTGTGCTATCAAAGGGTTTAAAACTCAATTTTAGTAAAGTTAAAATAGATAAATGTTAGATAATGCAAGGATGGGCAGAATAAATTCTGTAGCTCAGAAATTAGTACTAATTGCTGATAAGGTGTCTGAGACATTTTACTTACGGCATCATCCAGTAAGTTTCCTGTACTCTTTTTCCCGGAAGATTTTGATGAAGGAGAGGGTGAAGGGGAAGGAGTGGAAAGTGTTTCTTCTTGTTCAATCTCTTTTTCCAATTTTATCAAACCAGGAGGCTCCACGCCATACCTTTGAAAACATACCAGATGAAAACCATATGTATTACATATAATGATGCAGAGACCATATGTTACATTTGATTATGAATATGCTGGAAGTAAAGTGCTCACCATTAAATAAATACTGACTTTTTCTGGCATTGAAACAGTATGCTATTACACAGGCAATCTTCTAAGCGGGGG